TCTACACTGAAGGAGCAAAAGGATTAAAACCCCTGGAAGTTTGAGTCTGGATAAGGATTGGATTTTGACATGTAAATGTGTTGGAGCCATTAAATATTAAGAGGACTCAGTTGGCCACACACCCTCCTTCTCTTGGTGTGTGTTTGTGAAGTCTCCCTGCTCGTATCAGCGTCCTAATTGGTCTAACAAGATTAATGAGGCGAACTAGATTTTTCTGCTCTCCCTCCTCCTATCTTTTTGTTGTCAGGGCAGGGAACCTCGTCGAATGTGTGTGTCTGCACACACAACCTGTTAAATCCAAGTCACGCTACAATCCATTTAACAGGGTGGTGAGGTAAATGCCATCTTCTACCTGGAATTTTATTGGTGCTGAAACCGTTAATCAGTTACAGAAAACTAATGAATAACTCACTTTTCCTCAGCTTTTTTCTCTAGTTTTTCCAACTAAGAAAATAATAATAATTAAAAAAATCACTTGCCAAAGTCTGCAGCGTTTCACCAAAATTTATTCTCAAGATACACGACATTGAACAGTTTGAGATTCTGATGACTGTAAAAATACCCAGTTTTTTTCATGGTATTGATACGCATTTCAAATCAGAAAATCCTTTATCATTTTTTTATAGCTGAAAAACAAACCGAAGTAAAATGGAATCCCAATATTGTGCAATATTACCAAATAATTTCTTACATACACAATGAGATATTCTCAGCATTTCTTCTATCCATTTTGATGGCTACTGCTTAGAGATGACAATAAAAAATGTCCCCCAATGGGTTTACTCAATATAAAGGAAACACAAAGCATGCGCTCTGTCATTTGCTACAAAAAGGTAACTTTTCCTACAGTCGAATAACTTAATTCCAGTGGATCCCCAATATTAGCTGGGTTTAGGTATCACAACAGTCTGCAGACAGCTGTAAGTTTAAATTTCCTTTGAAAATGCTTAAAACGGGCTGCTCTCTAGTCTCAGTTATAGTTCTAGTGAGCAGAAAAGAATGAAGTATTTGCCTTTTCTGACATAAAATCACCTCTTGAATTTTTTATATCCGTTTTATTCTTAATTGCTGCATGCCATGGTAAATCCTGTAGATTAATCACTCATCACAGGCGTTATGTGGTTTGTGCTTCATTTCCAACTTCTAATTGTTCCTGTGTAACTAAGGCTCAGGTGTCCTAGTTACTGTCATCTGCTTAAGGAATGACTGAGAGAGAACGCTCCACATGGTTTGTGTTTGCTTTATCCTGAGTAAACTGATTGGGGGACATTTTAGCATGACTTGGTTTATGACAGCTCAAACAGAAACGGATGAGCTGAGCAGTCCCAGAAGTAAAAAAGTAGAACTTTGACCAAGGATGCAATTCTTCTGCTGAAGGTTTTGTCTCATTTTTGCATCACTTTATTAATCCAAATACACTGAAATGTTTCCTGTGCACTTTTCATGGTTAAATCTCACACTTTTGTAAGACTAACATGAATTCATAACAACGGAAAAGAGATTCTACATAGATAAAACTTTTTATAGCTTTTGCAACTTTTTCATATCATATGGCAATTTTATAGTGTTTCTTGTTTTTATTAGAACATATTGTAAAGCAGGCATTTAACTAAGTTTTCTACTTTTAACATTTCATTCCAGCTACAAGATTCCAGCATTTTGGCATTCCTAGTATTTTAATCCCTGATTTAAGCTGTTCTTGGGATGGGTCCTGGATGCTTGGCAGTCTTAACTGATTGAAGTTCAGGAATTAACTTACATCCAGTTAAAGTACTTTACAGGAAAATTGGTCTGATGGGAACGTAACAGCGGCCAATTTTTTGAAATAACAAATAATATTAAAGCTTTAATTCTCTCGGAGAGAAAAAAAAGAAGATAAAACTCAGGTTTCCTTCAGGAAAACATCGCACTAAACCTCCTGTTATGGAAGAAAACACTCTTCAAGGCACCACATGATTCAAGTGGCCGCCGTCAGTGATGATGTGCAGTTTTTGGCTGGCGTGTCACCCCGGGAGCCGAGCACTAAATCAATAGTGGTGCTGTCCATTTGCTGCGCTCTGTTCCAAATCAGTCTGAGTCCATCTTTCTGCTGAAATCCCCGCTGAGATGCGCTGTTATGCAAGAGGTTACATTTGGGGATTAGCACATCATTTTCAAGGGTAGACATCAAGAATCCAGAGGCATTTATAGGTCACAAATCCCATGCTGTCATGTGTTATACTTATAACAAAAGATTTTTGAATGCTTGTCCTTACATCATCTGTATCTTTCAGTATGTTTAGTTTGAAGCTGATTCTTTTACTTAAAAAAACTGTCTATACAGACATTTTGAGGAAAAGTGTATGAGTTATTATTTATGTATTTGATTAGCTATTATATTTTGTAAATCTGCATTTGATAGTGTGTATTTTCTGCATAGATTGCAAGTAATTGCCCATAATGAGAGAGTCTAAAGAAGTCTTTAAAGACTCTTAAAGAAGAGTCTATTTAGTATTTGTTCTTTGTCTCATGTTCACCACTGACTGATGGAAGTGTGTGCGTGTGTGTTTGTTGCTGCCTCTGTGTGTGTGTGTGTCGGTCTGACTGTTGCATAAGAGGATCTGCTGCTGTCCCAGAGCTTAACGAAGGATTTAAGCCTCTCTTTCTCACTCTCTCTCCTTCGCTCTCTCCTTCCTGAGTCGTCTGCCCCTTTAGCACTCTGTTATACTTGCTAATCTCTGTAATTGCGTGTACATTGTATCTGGACTGAGTAATTGCACTGTATGTTCCACTTTATATGCAGGTTGTCTATTAAGATTTTATTATTTTGAGTTTCTTGGATCATGTGTAAGTAGAGATTATGCCAGAGATTACAACACAGCTGCCTTTTTATGTTTTTAACTGTTGTAAGAATGTAACAAAACGATCTGTTGTTGAATAATTAACTTTATTCACTGTGTGTTTTATCGTTTTTGGCATATAAATTGTCTGACACACCTAAGTATCACTCATTACAAAAGCAAATATACAGTATATTATTATCTCAAATCTCAGATTTCAGTTTCACTTGAAGAAGTGAAACTTCTTCAAATGGATTAACCAGGATTCAAAATATATTTTATATATTAGCAGAGATGTCAATTTAAGTTTCATAATTACTTTTAAACCACAGAAAAATACATTTATGAAAATGTATAAATGTATTTTTATAATCATCCTCTATTACCAATTTACCTGTATTAATGCAGTCTCTATATAAATTCTCCAGAGAACATAGCTCCATACCTGAAGGGATATTTCAGGTTTTTTGATGTGATTTTTCTGGGACGTTTTAACATTAATAGCCCCTAAAAGCGTAGTAAACAAATGACATATTTCAATGGGATGCAATCTGAAGAGCCAGCATGCTTGTCTCTTGGTTTTAGCTGATTTTAGACATTTCAAAGATATAAACAATGCTAATTTGTGGACATAAACATTTTTTACTTTTAAATGACACAGTGTAGTTTGTTGCTGTTTACTCAGCTGCTGGGTTACTAGGCAAAGTGACTGCTGACACATCAGTATGCTGGAAATCCAACAATGATCAGAGTAAACTTTAGCATTTTGTATCAGACTACCAGTTGTGCAGAGACACAAAGTCTTGTAAAGACTTGTTTAAGTTACCGTCTGTGCAAGTTTTTTAACTTAATAAGAACTTCACAGAACTTTAAAAGTTTTTAGATTTCTGATTATTTCTATTTATAAAACAATTTTTTTGTCTGAAAAGCTGCTTAATATAGTGACAAAGTTGCTGAGTTGGTAACAGTTGGGTGAATTTTGTTGGTATCAGTTCCAAATCCAGGATTTTTCATGGAAAAGATAGACTGAAAGATAAAAGCAAACAAAGGGGCAACCTTTCTGTACTCCGTTCACCTTCCTGTTATCTGCTCTCGTCTGGTTCTTTTTTTTAAAAAGAAACCCGGGTTAATCAGAGATGGTTTCTCTGGATTATTTTTCAAACACATGGCTAAAGACAGCTAACTTTGAGTCTTGCTGCCTTTTTATCAACTTCCACTCTGAAGATTGTAATTCAAGCAAACAGGTAGCTGTGAACTACGGTGTGTTTACTGAAGAAAAAGTAGATTTTTGAGTGTCGGACCAATCGGTTGTGGTTTCAGGTTTTACAGAGTAAATTAAAACGTTTACATTATCTCATAGAGTTAAGTAATGTTTTTAAAAACTTTGTAATGTATCCAATGCTTCATCTATGTCTGAACAACTTTGCTGTGAAAGAAAAAGTGTCAATAAGTGTCTCCTCCTTCTTCAGTTAATTGATTTTTAAGCTGACTACCCTTTTTATTTATCAACAAAATACTTTGCAGTCTGCAGTTAGACGCTTTCTTCCTGCCTCTGTGTAATTTGTGCACCTTGTGAGGCATCATGAGAGTGACGTTAACCCATCGCCGTTATGCTTGCTCTGAGGGAGACACACAGAGAGGTTACAACAGCACAACATTGTGTGTTTTGGTACAGGGAATTAAACGCTTTATGCAGTTCGATTTGGATGCTCAGCCGCTTTATCTGACTAACTGCTGTGGCACATGTGTGGAGATGGCTCAATTTAATCAACTATCACTTCTGGTTTGAAACCTGACAGCTCTTTTTCTTTTTTTTTTTTTTTTTTTTTTTACCAGAGGCCAGAGTCAATATAACGGGAGAGTTTTTAAACACAAGGTGTGAATGAAAAGTTCAAAGAATCCAGTTAACACATCACATGCAGATCTGCACTGAATAGCAGCAGTAAACGAGGTCCATAATGATGCTGAAATAACAGTTATAAAGACAATGGAGCTAATGGTGATGATGATACGAGTGCTGGTGAGAAGTGTAATTCTGGTGAAGATAATGACCTCTTATGTGTGGGTTGTTGTGTTTGTTTGTGCTGGAGGACAGCCCCTTCTGCTGCACTCGCTGTTCTGCTGCGTTTTTCTCCCTCTGATTTACTTTGGTTTTTCTCCCCCGTCTTTGTCTTTGCGCAGATCGACTTGGAGCCGGAGGGGAAGGTCTACGTGGTCATTGATCTGTCTGGATCCACCACCGAGGGTAAGATCACAGCAATGCGACATTTTAGTGCAAAACAAAGGGAGCACAACACAGTTAATATTACTAGAACAGTGTTTCTTCTTATAACTGTGTTTTTTGGTGGGAATTATAAGAGCAATCCAGAAAGGATGAAAATATTTAGAAAGTATTCTAATTCTTCTGATCATGTTGTGAGCCTCATGGTGTGTTATTAGGAATATTTTAAAATGTACCGTTTATCCTTCAAAATTTTAATTCCCTCCAAGCAAAATAAAAACAAGGCATTTATAAGTTAATAAACACCACAAACCAAAAACTTCTTTCAGTCTCACGTTTGTGCAATTTGGATGTGTGTGCCCTTCTCTCTTGCACACACACACCTCTCCTGCTTCTCTCTGTAGCAGGAAAGAAGCCTTATTTTTTCCTCAAGAAGAATAAACATTATTCACATCCAGTTGAAACCAGAAGTTTGTATGCACCAAGCAAAAACATGCACATACCTTTTCTTCTTTCAGTCTAAAGTTAAATCCAACCAAAACTTTCTTGTTTTAGGTCACTTAAGACACTTTGTAACCACTTTGAGTCATTGTCTGTCTGGAAAACCCAACTGTCCCTGAGGTTTACCTTCTTAGATGACTTCTTCAGGATTTCCACTTCATGTTCTCTCCTCATTATGCCATTTATTTTCCGAAATGCACCAATTCCTCCTGCAGCAAAACAACCTTATAACATGATGCTCCCACCTTCGTGCCTGACATTTGGGCTTACAAGCTTCCCCGTTTTTCCTCCAAATGTAACAGTCTGTGTTTTTATGTTTCTTTTGGAATAATGGCTTTAATGCTGAGTGGCCTTTCAGCCCATGTGAGAACCGGACATGTTTCACTGTCTTACCAGCTTCAGCCGCTTTGTCAGCAGATCTTTTATTCTGAGGTGAATTTGTACATTTTAGATCAAGAACCTCTTCTTCTTGAGCATAATGATGGTTGAACATCATTATACTAATGACGCACATAATTGTTTAAGCATCGATAAATGGTTCCCAAGGATGACCCAGACTTTCGCAGCTCCACAATTCTCTTTCTGATATCTTCATTGATGTTGTTTGAATTTCCGATTCCGAAATAAGAAAGCAGTTCATTTCAGGTGTGGCTTTAAAATACATCCACAGGTGAGCCTCCAACTAACTCGAAGGTGTTGAATTGATCACTGAAAGAATTTAAATTCTTTTCTTTGATTAGCTGCAGGGATTTAGTCGATTTCAGCAAATGAGACAGAATAACAATCTTCTTTGAATGTGTGTTATCCAAATAAGTGACGGACGAAATAGCCTGCTTATAAAGCACATTGATGCAAAGAGTACAGTATGTTTTAATCCATTTCAGAAGCAAATAAAAATCAATTATTCAGGCTTTTATGTTTGCAGTCTGAATAATTGATTGGAATTGTCAGTCTGCATGGAAAGCATCACTCAAAATGTGTCCCATGTGGTTCATAATTACAAACAAGTGTCTCTTGTGATAAGTTCTTTTCATTTAGATCTCATTTTATTTATATAGCAATAAACTATGCCTAGTCTAAATGTACATTTTATTCATATAGATATGCGATAAAATTAAAAACATGTAGCAGCGCTGAATTCTGACTCTTTGTGGGAACCTGTCCACTATAGGTAATAAAGCCATCAGTAAATAAAGGGTTAATTATTAATTTCAAATTTGACATTTCAGTTGCATTACCAGCTCGTAATTTATCTAAACAGTCAATGGTTTTATTTTACTTCCTCCACTATTTGCTTATCGACACCCTTGACGAAGTTGTGTTAAAGAAAAAGACCATACAATATTTAATCTTTACTGTGATGACATAATCTTAAACATATTTTCAGTCAAGTACAACTAAAAAGTAGCTGTCCAAGAAATGACTCGAGAGTAAACAAGTATTTGGTAAAAAGGCTCCTCAAGTATTGACCCAAACATTAACCATTTCATATTTAAAAATTATTTCATCAGACGGACCAAAATATAAAGTTATGTGGAAATTTTGGTATCTTAAAGATGAAAGTAATTCATGTGAATAATTACAAAATAACAAAATCAGGCAAAATAATAACTTTTCCAGATGGATTTTGTTCAATAAAAAAACTTATGAAACTTTAACAAAAACTGCAGGTGTGTGTCTGGTGAATGTTTGTTTAAAACATGCTTGTTCATCTTGCACCCAGTGAGCTTTACCACACCGGGTAAAGCACCTGGATATTTTACTCAAGTAAGAGTAAAAAGTACATTGTTGTAAAAATACTCCCAAAATTACCTTGTTTTTTGCCAAAAAGTTACTCATCTACTTTTGAAGATGAGCACATGTCTGCCTTATTTGAGTGCCATGTTCTCTTGTGTTTCCCATTTTGAAGAGGGGCAACTTTGCATTTGGCAAAAACTTGCTCAGGAAAATGCCAAAAGGTGATGTTACATTTGTGATGTTGTGTTTGTGGCCGTGGCTTGTTTCCGCTGCCCCCAAGGGTTGCTGGATGACACAAATAACAAACACCCAGAAAGTCGTCAACTCACTGCATGAAGGGCAGGATTTATAAAAGGTGCGCGTTCCTAAAAAGCATTCCTAGATCTGTCCTTATTACTCCTCCCTTCTCTGTCTCTTCTGTTTCCATTAAATAAACATGTAGACATCCAGAATGCCTCTCTGTCCACACAAATTCCCTTGGTCACATGCCACCCGATAAGAGCGGTTTTTGCCCGCGCACATGCATCCTTGCACCTGGTTATAAATAGAAACGTTCTCTGCCTTGCACTCAGCGTCTGTGTGTGTATTTTTTTGGGGATGGTGCTTGGATAACCTGACCAGATGAGAATGCAGCAGAGAGGCCCGGCAGATTGCTTCTGCAGAGGATATCTCTCTGTTTAAATGCGGACAAAGACAGGAGACGAGAAACCGAGCAGATTCTTAAAATAGAGGGTGATATTGAACCAGAGATTACCACACACACACACACACACACACACACACACACACACACACACACACACACACACACACACACACACACACACACACACAGCAGGAGCAGCAGCAGACTCGGGCGTCTATGTCTTGCCCTCCTCATGGATGATTGGCCACTCTACGGTGACCTCACAACCCACTCTCCGCCCACTCCTGAACTTTTTCTCTTCAGTTCAGCCGGCTCAGGAGCTTGTCACGTTAATGCATGCTGATAAAAACAAGTGGTGTGTGTGCGTGAGTGTGCTGGTGGAAAGGAATAATGGTTGCAGAGATGGAGGGTGAGAAGTAGAGGAAGACGTATTTTTAGCAGATTTATTTTTTTTCCCCTGGTGCAATCTGTTCACTGCAGCTTTAGAAACTGGAAGGACATCTTCCTCTGCTTCTTATTTCTCCTTTATTTCTCCACTTTTTGCTCTATCCCAATACATCTGTTGTTCGAAAGATAAACACACCAACAATATCACTTAAACTGAGAATATTCAGAGATTTTTTTTGAAGATGTGATGCACTCAGTTACTTCAACTTAACCCAAACAAAAGGTTTCAAGCAATCTGGGAAAGAGAAAATTATCAGATAGAGTAGTGCCGTATGACAACAGATATTTAACGAAAACTGAAGCGTTATCGTACTGTGAAGAGATTTGTGGCTGACTGAGGACAAAGATGAGGACACAGATAAAGGCATAATGAGGAAGGTTTTGTTAGACAAACTCATCGGCTGTTAAAATGCCCTTACAAAGCAGCAGTTATTTGAAGCTGCTGGTGCCTCCAGAAACTCAAGATGGAGGATCGTCCAGAGGCTTGTGGTACATGAATCTACTATTCGGCCACCCCCGAGCAGAGCTCACAAGCAGAAACGGTCGCAGTGGGCCCAGCCGTACATGAAGATTAATTTTCAAACAGACTTGTTCACTGATGACTGCTGTGCCACCCTGGATCATCCAGATGGAAGCAGTAGTGGATTGGTGGTGGATGGCCACAACGTCCCAACACGGCTGTGACGTCAGCAAGGAGGAAGTGGAGTCATTATTTGGGCATGAGGAGAGAATCATGACCTCTGCAAAGTATATGGACTTTCTGACTGATCACTTTCTTTCATGGTTCAAAAAGAAGAGCCTTCAGTAGCAAAATCATCTTCATGCATGACAATGCACCATCTCATGCTGCAAAGAATATCACTGTGTCACTGACTGCTATTGGCATAAAAGGGGAGAAACTCATGGTGTGTTACCTTCATTGTGTATGAAAAAGTCTCGATCAAACAGGTTAGCTGATTGTCACCAAGTCTCATGATTTCAGTTTGTGAGCTCAATGCAACAAAGCAAAGTCAGAAGTTCTCTTTGTCTTACTTTAAAATCAGAGTCTCAATGATAGAGACCAGGTCTCAAGAGTTAAAAAAAACATCTACCTTTACATCTGTGGCAAAGTCACAAGCTTAGTGAGATTGACTTCACTTTGACAGGACACATTGTGGCATTTTATTATTACGATCATGTGGCACATAGTTTCTTCTCATGTAATGAAGTGTGGTGCTCGGGGAATACAGATAATATCAGACAACCGCATCACAAGGTTTACTGTAGATTCATTGTCCTTTGAAAATCCATTTTGTTTCTATCAAGCCGCTGGTTTGATGTTGCTGTCGGCTTCTTGCTTGTTTTTGTCATATTTGGACTTTTGTGTTTCTGTTTATTTGGTGACCGTCTCCCAGACAGTTTTTCTTCAGGTCCAGAGTACAGCCGTCTCCAAGACATTAACTCTTAGCAGTTGTTAGGCCTCTTCTCCTCTATTACCCAGTGTGCGCGCGTGTGTGTATGTGTGTCCGAGACAGATGGACGATGTATTATGTAAAGCAAAATGATTTCTGTAATGGACTATTTAGCTGCTGCTCCCCTCCAACCAACGTGCATCACACACAGATACAGGAATACAGATTTACACCCATATCCACATACACAAACTCCCTAGACATCCTGTCTGTAATCGAACTGTGGAGAAGCTCAGCAGTAACCACATCTACAGCGTACCCCAGAGAGAGAAGCTGGCGGAGTGAGAGAAAGGCTAACTAGGACAGGAACGCCGAGGGAAGGAGTGTGTGTGGGAGTCAGAGTGGAGGTGGTTCTCTTGTCTTAAGGTTACTCTTGGAAAGCATTTATCAATCGATGGGATGCAGAGAGGAAGTAAAGAGGACTGGTTGGATGTTGTTCATCGAGGAGGAGTATTTTAATATGCTGTCCTTCTTTTTTGTGCCCACACATGGCAGTATAAATAGCTTTCCACACGTATATATATATATATATATATATATGCATAGGCCTCCGGTGTGGGACATCTTTTTTAAAGAGGGAGGAAGGACTGAGGAAGAAGAGAAGACATTGAATGATTAAACATCCTAAGCAATATGATGCAAAATCCCGATTTGTACAAACCGTTGTGCTAAGAATAAAATGAGTGGTTGGAAGAAAGTTTGTGGCTCCTTTAGAGATCAGGACTCGAGTCTGAGAGCTTGAGTCAAATTTAAGTTGTGAAAAAATATTTGTGGTGAGATTAGGGCTGAAAGAATTGATCACATTAATTGTGATGAATGAATTATTGAAGCAATCATCAACTGATTTAGTAATTGATCAACTCATACCTGGAATATGCAAACTCAAAATGAACAATTTTCTTATAGCACCTATTAAGCCAAAACTGTACACATAATACATACATCTTGCATTCAAGATAAAAATAAATCATTTTTTATGTGTAAATCTGAACTTAAGTGGCAGTTTTAGCATCACCTGCATCAAATTCTGTAAAAAAAAATTAATAAAAAACAACTGTAGGTGAGACGTACTTAAGTTGCAGAAAGAAAGAGTGAAGACTTTGCTTAGTGTGAAATCATACTTTTTCAGTTCCCTAAAAAAAAGCAGACTTCAGACTCACTAAATATTTAACTTTATTTGTACCGAAGTCACTCTTAAGTCACAAAAAAGTTTTGCTTAAGTGACAAAAACTGTTCAGAGCCGTAGAATTACTTGATCGCATGTGAATAAATTTCAACCTAAATTACATACAACAGACTTTATACAAAATAGAAGCGTTGACAAAGCTGACAGAATTGCAAAATTTCCTAGAAACCCACAAAAGTTGTGTTTCTCTGTCCTCAACATAAAAGCAAACAAACACAGTTCTGCCTTTATTTTGTCTCCTGAGTTCCCAGAATGAACCTGAGCCGGGCTGATAACGGTAGAGACGTTTCTGCTCTCACTAATTATGCTACAGGATAAGTACTATGCTACCTGTCTTCCTTCGTTACAGGATGAGAGATCAACTGACCCGTTTTGCTTCCACAATATATCGTCTTGCCTCCGAAGTCCAACTTACGTCAAGTTGACATAAGGCCCACATACGCAGTCGAGTCAGTTTACAACTAACAAAATGACATGACATGATCACGACATGCACAGCATTCGGATTATGAACCAGCATAAACGACTCTTATCCGGATTACAGTTTTATTCAGAATGAGCAGAATTGCTTACATGGTACATTTTTGTTTATTCTGATTACTTATGTCCATGTAAACATGGCTATTGACTCAAAACTTAAGTCAGATCTGTGGCATGGTGTTTGAGTCTTTCTCTCATGTATTTAAGCCAGTATGCAAGGCACAGACAGTGCACACCTCTGATAAAGATGCACATTCTCCTGTGAAAGGGTGCGTTTGATTTATAGCCCTGGGAAGTTCACTGAAGCTGTGCTAACAATGGCTCAGAACAATCTGTTCTTGTGAGCTGCAAATTAATGATCACATGGCTGTCCCTCAAGCTGATGTCTTCAATAAATGCTTTTGTATTATTTCAGAACAAAACAACTTTTTTGCAACATCTTTATCGCTCACAATTATAAAAAAAAAATTTAATACAGTTATACAAAGATGCATTTTAAAAGGCTGTTTTGGATTGTGATTTAATATAACAACATTGTTTGCTATGTTTTTCCATAAGTTTTAAAATTGCTCAATCTGCACTTACATTTTAAGTTTAAAAATGATTAATTTAACATTTTTGTAGTTTTACAATTACAAAGCAAACTGTTTTTCTACTTGGATTTTATGTTTTTTGTCTGATTTGCTGCCATCAGGCTGCTGAACTCAAGCTGCACCATCTCAAATTATTTACACACATACTTTTTAGTATTTATGTATACATAAATTACTTTGTAGTTTATTTCTTTTTATTTGTGTATTAGATTTCTTAATATAGGACCTGAGTCCAAATTTTGTACCATAAACAAGCAAAGGCGGTATGACAAAAAAAATAAAAAAAATCATTGAATATGTCATTACTGTTCACAAAAATGTAAACAAATGACACTAAATGAAGATGTTAGATCAGTTGTTCTTAACCTTTTTTGAGGTACCGGATCCACCAGTTTCATATGCGCATTCATTGAACCCTTCTTTACTGATAAATAAAATATGATTTTTATCATTAAAGGTACATGCTTTTTTTTTTTACTGGTGCACAAAATGAGTCATGCATGAACATAACCTTACTCAAAGAACAAAACTAACACAGTGCATGAACTTATAACAAATTACGGTATTACTTTATTCTGGCCCCCAAAAAATATTTTGGCCCATAAAAGAATTTCAGCCCCCAAAAATATTTTTTTACTGTTTTACTAATTAAAAATAAATTTGGATTAAAAAAAAAAAAAGAATTTAACATTTTTTAATAACAAATTTTTTTTTTTTTAAATTAAATTAGTTTTTTGTCGTTTTGAATCCACAAAATACTTTTTTACTTTTCCCCATCTCCATGCAGCTACAAGAAGTGTTCCTTCAGTTTTGACGGTGCAAGACTAGTGTTCCTCAACTTGGCATATCATGCAGCTGAGACGCTGACTCCCATCCCGTTCTGTGACACACGTGATCCATGTTGTACATATTCGTCCCGTCACTTTTGTTTTTGCTCGACATGTTTAGTATGGATTAAAATATTGGGAAAGAAACCACACGACATACAGCTGTTGAATACTGCTGCACTAAAATCTCCGCAGCACTGATTGGCCAAGCGATGTCACGTGATCCTCTGCTGCAAGTGATGGCCAAGTGGGGCGTGTCATCACGACTTTACACAAGTGTGTCTTTACCTCCACGGCAGCGGCTCTGCCGAACCCCTGAGACCGACTCATCGAACCCCTGGGTTCGATCGAACCCAGGTTAAGAACCACTGTGTTAAATGGTGGGGCCTAAACATATCGGTAAAATTCCAAAAAAGGCAATATAAATTTAAAAAAAAGAGAAATATAAAGCTGAAGTGAAGTTATTCCAAAAACTATTACTCCAATTCATTTTCAAGCTTATTCACAGCAGTTCATGTCATTGTTTCAGTAAATACTTCAGTGGGACTTGAGACCTGACTTGGATTTCCCCCTCATATACTTGAGACTTGTTTTATGCACAAAGTTAAAGATACTGAAATGAAAAACTTGACACTTTATTTTGGATGAGTTGGACCCCTCAAAGACTTGGCCCTTGACTTTGACTAGAAGCAAAAGATGTGAGACTTAACTTGGATTTGTCCCTCAAAAACCAAAGTTGACATAAAATGAATGAATTGAGAATTTTGACTTCTACATGAAGCGAAAAAACCAGAAACTTGTCTTTGAAGTGGCCTTTAAAAAACCTGAAACTGTGTGTGTGTTTAATCGACAGCCTCAGGGACAAACGAGAATGAGGAGAGGGTTTTCCGCGAGAGGATCGGTCCACGCCGGCGACAAGGAGCCGTCCGAAGACGTGTCCACCAAGTCAACGGACACAAGTTCATGGCCACCTACCTGAGACAACCGACCTACTGCTCACATTGCAGAGATTTTATCTGGTAGGCAACACATAAGCACATCTGTTGCAGCTCATTTGCATCAAAAGTTGAGTTTCCTTGAACCCGCCTGGCTGATAACGCTGGTTGCTCTTGTGTGTGATCTGATAGGGGTGTGCTGGGGAAGCAGGGATACCAGTGTCAGAGTGAGTACTTTTCCTCGACCCTATCCAAATTTCTCATGTAACATGGCACCTTTATTTATTATTGAAGCAGGAGAACATGGGAGAGGATTACATGTTGCTGAGTGACGGGTGTGATTTGTTCCGGAGCCATTCATTATCAGTACTGCACCAAGTGTTTAACACTTTAAAAAACGCAGAGCAGGACTCTTCTGCAAAACAACATGCACGTTTAATGCATGAAGGAGGTTGTGCCACAAACATGTGATAGTTTGTTCGTGGAAATTCTTACCAGCAAAGACTCGAACCTGACACACCAGAGTCATCAAATCCCCCAAGAATTATGTGGGAATTAGAAACCCCAACACGAAAGTCATTTGGCATTTGATGAGGTTTAAATGCCCTCATCAGTAATTCAATCTGGAGTTCCTGGGTTTCACATCTACTCACTGATAACTTAAATAGCTTTAACTCTCCTGGGACAACTTACTGTGTTTTAATTAGAGTACTTTTTATATGTTTATCAAATAAAGTTTGGCTTAAGTATCTGAACAGCCTGAAGGAATCTTGATTGTCTTAGAGAACCAGACGCCATTAGTTATATGCTAATGACGTCTTCCTGCAAATTAGTTGGTTTGGTTCTGCATATTTATTGTCTGCTTTCGGAACAGCTCTTCTAAAAATACTTCTAAAATACAAAATATTGTTGTATTTTCATTATTTACATTTGTTATAGAATTAAACAAATGCGATATGTTGCATTTAGTTGTTAGTAAGTAGCTTTGATTTAGTGTCTTGTACAAATACATTTGAAATAAGACCAAATTATTTTAAATATAACATTCTTTTACTTAAAACAAGCTCCTATGTCTTGCTGAGAAGTAACATCCAAGTTAGTTTGTCTTATTTTAAGTATACTAAGATATTTGGTCTAGAAAATGGACCAAAACGTCTTGGTAAGATTTTGTATTATAAGTATTTTTGGTTAGCAGAATTTTCCAGCAGCGCAAAAACAATTTTTTACATTTCAGAAGAAACAAAACCAAGTAGACGAAAAGAACCAGCTGGAATTACATGATACTGATTAGTCTAAAAAGTCCTTTTAACATCCAAAACTTTCCAATACATTTATTGATTTTCTTGGGTAGCAGAAGGATCTTGTTGCTTAATACCTCTAGTTTGAACAAAATTGTACATTTAACACATGTTTTTCCATGTCCATGTTTTTCCTCAGTGGAAATATTTCCACATTTCTGTCAGCCAGCTGACTGGCAGTGGGGTTACTGCAGCGCGACACATTAATTGCTTTGGTCACTCCAGCATTTTCTATTGCATCTCATAAGAAACATACCAGACTTTAAGATTTGTCTATAAATTCACATTGTTTTGAAGAATTAAGATATATTTATTTTGTCATATTAAAATATAAAATAATTATATATAAAATATAAAATCAGCCACTTATCCAATTGTTACCATTTAACTTCAATAATAGTAGTCTTTAAACTCATTTTAATTGTTTTTTAATTTGTCAGTATCTGCCAAACTTTAATTACAACAGCACAGGAGTGACTGCAATGCATTGGTGCTTTCAGTGTGTACCTGTGTCGTCCACAAGCGCTGCCATATGCTCATCATCACCAAGTGCGCTGGGATGAAGAAGCAGGACGAGACAGCAGAGGAGGTAAATGTGTGCAAACGCATGCAGTTAAATCCACGTATTTGCATGTACTCTAAACGTCTTTTCTCCCTGTTAGGACCATCTACTTCTTAAATGCCAAAATGTGACACAAAAAAAATGTGTGTGCATCTTGAAATACTCCCGCAGTTGTGCCTCCATGTTGTAAACCAAAAGTTTACAAAGCCAAGACATCAAATTCTGGGCTTCTGAATTTGAAAAAAAGTAAAAGAGATTTCTCTTATTGTTTTAGCTCTGCAAATAAAAACAAATATTTTGGCAATAGTTCATAAAACAGAAAAAGTTACCCGGATTTTGTCAGACAGGGAGAAAAAAACTTATGTGTCGTTGTTCAGTGTATCTAAATATCTGATATCAACTGTATTTATGCTGATATTTGTGCTTGTGTAAGTTTTGGTTATGTCCCACTTTTTTCTGCTTCTTGTAGGCTAAATAAAGATGAATAGAAAATGCATCCAGAGTTTGTTACAGCCTCAAACATGTGCACTCTTCCTCTGTGTAAGCGTTATGGTTGAGAGTTTGTGTGGGTGTGTCTCCCTCTGCAGGTGGGTTCAAAGGGGTTCAGCGTTAACATTCCCCACAAGTTCAGTATCCACAGCTACAAGGTGCCTACCTTCTGTGACCACTGTGGCTCTCTGCTGTGGGGCCTCATGAGGCAGGGCCTTCAGTGTAAAGGTGAGTTTAAACTCAACCACAAATTTATCATCTGAAAAAAGGCAACACTTTTCAATAAAAGTCTAAATAAAAGCTTCAGAACAAAAACCAAGCTCAAACCATTTAATGTGGATTTTATTTAATTCATTTAAAGTTTCTAGAAGCTGATATCAGAAAGGTTCCACATGCTGTGTAAATTTGTGAAGTGGAACTATAAAAGAGAAATGACACATTTGTGTAGTTTTTGGACAAGATGGAGGATATTAGCAAAAACAAACCCTTGAGTTTCTAAAGGGAAACATTTTGAGGCAGCAGAGAATAAGTTCAGTGTTTCTGCAGCTGTTTACTATATGATTCATGTGCGATTGATTGCTGACCATTCAAGTAGAAATACCATATGATACAGACAAACATGGAAAGAAGTCTGAACAGTTTGGTTATTATTTCAGTAGTTAGATTTTTTTTTAATTGATTACTCTGACAATTAATCATTTAATCGGATAAAAAAAAAAGTCACATTCTCTAGTTTTTTCTTCCCAACATGTTAAAAGTTCAACTCTTTCTGCTTGTTTTAACATTAATAGCATATAGGGTTGATCTGTTGAGTAGTTTTCTTATCTATTAACATCAGACAAAGTGCACAAAATATTGTGCTCTCTGCACAATATTGTGCTGGACAGATGGGTTTAATTTAGTGTTCTGTTATGTGATGACTGGAGACAGGACCTCATCTAGCACCTCTAATATGCGATAGGAAAATATTTATTTTTGGCAAGCATGGAATTAAAATAAGATGTGACACAACATTTGCCAAGAGTTTTTTCAGCTGAAAAACTGTTTGGTATCTTTTGGAGTTGCATATTATAATGAGAGAAAAGTGTCTTTTTAACCATCTTTTGTCTATTCATGTCACACATTCTGTTGATCCTGGTGGCAGAACTAATGGACACTTTCTAAAATGGCATATCTGCATTGGAGTTGGTGACAAGCAGAAAGTGTGTACTAAAGCATACAGTTGATCAGGCAACAAGAAACTAAATATTAACTGATAAAATGAAACTTCCTTGCATGTCCTCCTGCTGTTTTTGCAGTGTGTAAGATGAACGTGCACCGGCGCTGTGAGACCAATGTAGCTCCTAACTGTGGGGTGGACGCCCGAGGAATCGCCAAGGTGCTGGCTGACATGGGAGTCACACCTGAAAAAATCTCCAGCACAGCACAGCGCAGGAGGAAGGTAACTGGACACAATGTGGCCCAAGCTGCCGCCATCATGACCAGATGATCCATTATTAAAACTGAAGAACTCTCCAGCAAAGTCCTGTCCTTTAAAAAACAATTTGAGTGGCTTCTTATATTTCTAATTCTGCTTTTGCTTTTCCGTCACAATTATGTTTCATCAAATATATCTTATCACCAGACAAATTTGACCAGGGTAAATCCAAAATGTGGGGAAAAGCAATCAAATTCATCCTGGACCTGTGTGAAAAACATTTCTCTTCCATTTTTAAGTCACAAATTAAATGTGATCAACTACAATTTTTTGACTGAGTTCAATTTCTTCACCTAAACCTGATTAAGTCCAGACTTGTAAAATCTCAAAAAGCAACAAGTCATGTCCTGATCTCAGGGAATCCCAAGAAAAGATAAGAAACAATCACTCTGGAAATAACCCAGAGCAACATGGGAGGTACTGGAGCACAAGGTCAATGTTCTTGACTCAACAATAAGAAAGAGACAGTGGCAAAGTTAGCAGCTATTGAAGAGGTTTGAGCCAAAAACGGAACACAAAGACACTTCTCTCCGTTTCCAAAAACATCTTAAGGATTCCCAAAGAGCTTTAGAAAAATATTTTGTTGACAGAATTGAACTTTTTGGATGTGAAAGATGTGAAAGAACATCACACAGTTATGGTCTGGAGCTATTTTGCTTCTGGAGAAACCAGCTGTGATAGATGGAGGCCATTTATTTGTTTGTCTGTCAGAAAACCTTCAGGTCACAAACTGTCTGGCATCATCAGTTTGTGACCTGAAGCTCAAACGGATTTTGGTTATGCAGCAAACGATGAACCAAACAACACCTCCAAATGGCTTAAAAAACTAAACAAGTTGTTTACTGGCCTCCAAATAAGGCACAAGGCATCATTTTTATTCCCAAGGGGAATTAGTTTTAGGACGTAGGACAGAAAGGGTAAATATAAATAACTCATCGCATCGAGCGCATCTAACTTGTCCAGAGCTCCACATAGACTGAATGAAAACCAGACCTGCCTGACGCTCAAACCTGGTTTCGCTAGAACGCACCTTAGCTGCACGGCAGTGCGCTGCGTGCGCAACTGCTCTGTATTGAGTCAGGAATATCGGTGGTCAGGAAAATGACACAATCAAGCTAAGAACCTGAAAAAAGGATGCAATGTTTTGCTATTAATTGTCAATGCTACAAGAGCAAGATAACAAGGTCCAAGGGAATCACATTTCACAGGTCAGTAAAAAGTTCAAGAAAATATTTACAGTAAATGGAGTAGGTTAGTTTGACGACCTTAATATGTACCTGTGCTGTGCAGATTGTTGTGTTTCGGTTCACTTAATACAAAATAAGATGAATAACATTTTCTGACAGATAATAAGTGGAGCAGGTATTTAAATGAGCTAATCAACTTCCAACCACTTCTTAATGATCACAAAATTATCGTTGAAATGGAAAACTAAAAAAATATGAAACAACGATGGACTGAGTTTTCCGTTTTGGGAAATATTTTTGTGTTGTTATTTTTGTGTGTGTGTGTGTTTTTGTTTATGTTTATGTTGATTCCTGATACACTTGAACTTAATTTCTGCACTGTGGAACCGCTGTTGTCTGCAACGGGTCTGCGTGTGATGTTCGGCTGACGACCGAGGAACAGAGAAGAAGAATACAGCCACCCGTTCTCTCCCCCCGGAACTAATTGCATCATTTGTTCGTAGAGTGAGGCGATATTCAAAGCAATCGTCAAATATTTCAGAAAGCATAGGAGCCAAAGTTGAATCTGTTTTAAACCATGTCTCCTCGAGCGGCAATTACATTAAATTATTGGCCAATGTAAAAGAAAAATTTGTCTCTCTTGTACCTTGTCAGAACTGACAAAAAACAAACTATTTATATATTTGTTTCCAGAGAAAATGCACATTGTACAAACATCAGCACTTTTCTTAGCTTTAATTTAAGTCACATTTTGTAGAAGTTGGATAAGAGATAATGTTGCTGCATCCATTTTTTTGTAACAGATTCCACTCGCATCTCTGACATTAGTACACGTTATGTGCTTTTCAGGAGAGTTTAGACGCAGGGAGATCTTCAGAACCAAAGGTGAGACAGAAAAGACACAGAAAGGAATTAAAACCTATCTTATTGTATTATTTTACAGCAAAGAAAAATGTTGCATCATATCTCATCTGCTCTGTGTAGTTCAGAAGTATAACAACTTTAACAATCTGATAAGAAAGGCTGAGTAAGTTATTTATTGTAAGATGTTGCTGTGTGCTGGGCTGGGAAAAACAAAATGTCCCCCTCAGAGGTAATAAATAAAGTATTATCTTATTTTTATGCCAGTTGAGGGACAGCTCTGCAGTCAGAATCACAAATGAAAAATACAAAGTTTGCACTGACAAGGATTGATTTGGCCTTCACAGAAGCTGTTTATTCAGTTTATTTAAAATTTTCTGACAACATTTAATGCTTACAGAATCTAATGTTGATGTTTTAAACAGGTGATAAAAGGCAAATATATTATTGTGATAATTCGTCACAAAAAATGTTACTGAATTTTGTAGCTGAGCCAGTGCATATAGACTCATTCCATAAAACAGAATATGAAAGAGAAGATCATTTTTTGTAATCCCCCCACCAAGTGAAAGACATAAGAAGATGGATGTTTTGACATCTTTATATCTCTTAGTATGTTTAATACCTGCTATAAGGTTATTTTCAAAAAGTAGGATGAATCTGACAAGCCTCCATCAGGACGCATATCCTAATTTATTAAATATGACTGTATGACTTTCACATTTAAGTCTGGGCCTTTTCCTTAGCTCAAAAAAGGTTTTCCATAACTGTGGGTGCATGAGCGCCGTCCCCACAATGTGTCCCCACCAACTTGCAGCACAAAGTGACACCCCTGCCTGAAGGAATGATTTTGTCGTCTGTCTGTGTTCCCAGTTGACCTCAGGGCAGGACGCTCCCCAGTCTCCGCCTGAGCTCTCTCAGACGGAGGACAACAGCTTCAGCCAGCCAGCTGTCCCCACCTCCCCCTCAGAGCAAGGTAACACTCTGCACATGCACAAAACGTTGAGAAAAACAAGCTTTGGGTTATTAAAACCATTTCAGGAAAAGCTGCTGTAACAGGACAGTTTTTAACTTGCTAATAAACCACTTAGAGGTTTTCATTTGGTTCCAGCAACAATATTGTGGCTCATGTTGAGAAATAAGTACAGAGAGGTGTTTATGGACATACAGGGACTAGATGTGAATTATCCCGCACCGCCCACAACCATTTGGTTGTCACAGTTAGTCATTATCACACTCTGCAAGCTGAGAAGTGAAAAGTTAACTTTCTCTTTGTGGAAGTAGTCTCGTTTCTTTTTTTTTTTATTTGAATATGAGCCACAAAACAAAGATTTTCCTCCAGTATAATAATAATAATTAATAATAATTGTCATAAGATTGTAAAAATAATTACATTAGTGGTAATATTCATAGTAATCATGATGGTAGAATGGCAAACACACGCGTGGTTTATATTAAATCATTATTAAAACTTTATTTTATGTTTCTTTTTCTTTGTTTTATGTTTCTTTTTCACTCATGTAATGTACTGCACCATGTATTTAGCACTTTGATGTAAAATAAATGTATATTAATAAATAGAAATTATATATTTTATATTGCTATTACTGGAGGAAAGTGTGGGTTTAGAGGAGTGTACACAGTTTAAACCAGAGTCAGAACTTTATATATACTGACTAATAATATTTTTCCCTCACTGTCTGAAATAAAATCAGAACAAGATTCTCTTGGTTTTGGTCAGTCAGAATCACCAAAATTATCATGAGAAATGATATGTAAGAGGTTTATTTGTTGACATCTTCAAAATCAGAAGTTTACATACAAACATCTGATTCTAACTGTATATATAACTTAAATAAAAAAGGAGACAGGAAGGCAGGGTGTTTTTATTTTTGCCTACGTCTGATCAGCTTTTCTGATGACACCCACAGACTTGGCAGAGCTAACGCGCCTGCAGGAATCGTTGTCGCTCGACGAGCAAAGACCCCAACACGCATCTTCCTCCCCCTCCAACTCCTCTTCCTCGTCCTCCTCCTCGGCGGCCAGGGAGAACGGACAGACCCAGAGGAGGACTCTGGAGGACTTTAACTTTATCAAAGTCCTCGGCAAAGGCAGCTTTGGCAAGGTGCAGCAGCGTCGGGCAGTTTGAGGGGGATGTTTGTTTGTCTACTGCTCATTATGCTTCTAATAAAACGGTTTTCTTGGTGATAGCACAGCAGCTGAGTGTTTCCTTCAGGTGTCCTTTCAGCTCTGCCAGTAGAAGAAAATGTTTGATCAATATTCAGGGATTATTTACTTTAAACAATCTCCTATATCTTGCTGGAAGTTACTTGTACATTAGTTTTGTCTTATTTCAAATGCACTAAGGTATTTGCACTAAAATACTTAGATTTAAGATTAAGATTTAAACTTACATTTTTTTGCAGTGTAAGCATCTGAAGACCAGAGCCAATCCTAAATTCAAGTAATTCTAAGATTATATTTACCAAAGCTGAAAAAATGTCCAGTAATGGTAAAACTAAGTACACCCCATGATTCATCTGATTGTACCGTCTCCTTCTGCTGCAATAAATTTAAGTTGTTTTCCTTATGACTTCATCAGTTTCTCACGTCATTTCTGGTGGATCGTTGTTGCAGCTTTGCTTCAGTTCACAGAGGTTTTCCATGCATTTGTTTCTGCTCAGCTGTCTTTAGTTTCCACCCCATATTTCAGTCAGGTTGACTTCTACCTGTAGATTTGATCCTCTGTTTGAAAGATTTGAAGTAACAACTTTAACTCTTGAACAGAGTCACGATTTTTTTTTTTTTACGCTGTAACCAGGTGATGCTGGGGGAGCTGAAGGGGACAGACGAGGTTTATGCCGTTAAAGTTTTGAAGAAAGATGTGATCCTTCAGGACGATGACGTAGACTGCACCATGACAGAAAAGCGCATCCTGGCCCTCGCCCGCCACCACCCCTACCTCACCCAGCTCTACTGCTGCTTCCAGACACGGGTAGGAGCGCAACGAAACCGTGCACTGAAACAGTTAGATTTAAAATTAAATCTAATCTTGGATCACCTGCTTGTCTCACCCTCTTACCTCTCTGTTGTGTGCAGGATCGTTTATTCTTTGTGATGGAGTATGTGAACGGAGGAGACCTGATGTTCCAGATTCAGAGATCCAGGAAGTTCGATGAGCCTCGCTCTCGTTTTTACGCCGCCGAAGTCACGTCTGCTCTAATGTTTCTACATAGGAATGGAGTCATATATCGGTAAATACGTCTAGCCTGTGTACCATGAGGCCAAGAGATTTATCAATTTCATTTAAACTTTTTTTAATTTTGAGTGAAACAGACTTTAAAAACTTCTTTCACCAGACATTCTCACTAAATAGTTCTGATAAGAATGTTTGGGAAGAATGTTACTTCCCAAACTTTTCCAAAATAGCTAGCCGAAAATAAATAGCCGATCTGATATTCATGACAAAAATCGGTTAAATATCACCCAAAAATTGAGTATCCAATTTCAACCTGTATCTAAAATCGCAGATATGAGCTCATTGTTAGATGCACTTAATCTGCCCCAGGAGTTCTATAAGGACCTATTGATACATATAATAAACAGGTCGGTTCTTCTCATATGTGTTGATTATTGTTTTCTGATTAATATAACTTGATCAAGGCTTTTTTTGCCATTCCACACTAAGGAAAGTATGTATAATTTGTTACGATATTGTATCAGGAGAATAATCAAAGCTGTAATATCTGTATTGTATCGGAAGTGAAGAAGTTATATCTAGACACCCCTGCAGACATCGTTCCCTTTAGAATCATCACAAACACACCGACAATGAAACAAAATATGTAAGAAAAGATTGACGTTTAGAATGTTTCTTTCTCATTTTTATTCGCTTTTCAGTGATTCTTACATTTGTTTAGTATAAATGCTGCATCTTTCCTTCTGATTTTAGTTAGCCATGAGTTCTTAGGGTTTTTTGCTTGAGGAGCAAAACAGCTTGATAAGTTTGACTGGCAGCCAGTTAGAAAGATGAACATGGCAAATAACATTTCAATAACTTACTAACTCTTATTTTACAATAATGATTGAAAAACGGGTTAGATTTTATGATTTTTTTTTTTTCACATCTTCCCTCCAACTTTCGGAGGCGCCTCGTACACCACCTGGTGGCCGTCACTTTGAAAAACACTAGTTTACACAACGACTTCCAACCTTTGGAGGAAGCAGATGGCACTGACCCTCCCCCTCTGTCTGCATCCTGCTCTCTCAGGGACCTGAAGTTGGATAACATCCTCCTAGATGCAGAGGGACACTGCAAGCTAGCAGACTTCGGTATGTGCAAGGAGGGCATCCTCAACGGAGTGACCACCACCACCTTCTGCGGCACACCTGACTACATTGCTCCTGAGGTGAGCTAAAGTTAGCTTAGCGAGCCAAGGAAGAAAACTATTCCTCTATGGGTTCCTACTGTGTCTTGAAAATTACTAATATAAATAGTATTATATTGTTGTTATTCAATAATAGTGATATATTAATATTTTTTACATTTAATTCTGAAGAAACTATAATTTTCCCTTTGAGAAGAGATAGGAACCCTGTTGTGCATCAGTGCAGTCAGACTGGATGATTTGCAAACTGATGTTGAAATATTCAAATAAGTAGTTGGATGAACTAAGTTATTTTTGTTTAGTTTTATTTTTACAAAACTCTTTTGATTTAAGAAAAAAAATCATCAGCAGTATTAACATTCAACTTTTCAGATCTGATCAAAATAAGCTGTCATGGAAGAAAATAATAAACAGCTGATTAAATAAAATGTAGGTAATAAACCTAACAGGTTTATGTTTCGGGTGTGTGTCTGTCATGCTGATCTGTGTGGTTCTGCTGTTTTCAGATCCTCCAGGAACTCGAGTACGGAGCCTCTGTGGACTGGTGGGCTCTGGGGGTTCTGATGTACGAGATGATGGCCGGCCAGCCGCCGTTCGAGGCCGACAACGAAGACGACCTGTTTGAATCGATTCTCCATGACGACGTCCTCTATCCCGTATGGCTCAGCAAGGAGGCCGTGTCCATCCTCAGATCGGTGTGTTTCAGCAGACATCCAACCATCCATCCAATAAACCATCCATCCATCCAATCAATTTCATCTGCCTCCAACATGTCCATCTTATTTTCAGCTCATCATTCGTTTTTGTTTTCAGTTCATGACAAAGAACCCGGCCAAGCGTCTGGGCTGTGTGCTGACCCAGGGCTGTGAGGAGGCCATCAAGGCCCACTCCTTCTTCAGGGAAATCGACTGGGTTCTACTGGAGCAGAGAAAAGTGAAACCGCCGTTCAAACCCCGGATTGTAAGAAACTCACACACTTAGAAACTAATCGATTTTATCTGTGAATGCACAGCTGGTTTAATGTGGTGTAACTTCAAACTTTTTGAGCAAATTTAAAACAGGATAGTAGTGTTTCACAGCTGTATCTGCACATATATCTGTCTATATATATATATATATATATCTGTCGATATATATATATATATATATATATATATATATATATATGTATATATATATATATATATATATATATATATATATATATATATATATATATATATATATATATACATATATAGACAGATATATACATATATATATATATATAGGAAAACAGCAAATTGAACTCACCAAAATATCTCAGTAAAATTTTCATTTTGTGGATTTAAAGAAAGTTGTGTGAGCATAATTCATAAGTATTGATTACTCATTAATCTTGAATTGTGAGCTTTTATAACGTAATACAATTACAATTTAAACCAAATAATTATTTCAAGGTATATAAAAGTATTGCCCTCATCTAGTTGAACCATTGCACATTCCTGTATTATTTAACTGACATTATTAAGTTAAAATAAAGTTAAAGTCCCCACTCCCGTTTATTTCTTCTTACTTTTTTTTTTTAATTTCTAACCTTAAAAATCTCCTTTACGCAACTCTGAGGTAGCATAAAACTAATGAAAAGTTAGCACAACTTACTAATAATGTAAGTTTATGTTTCACAAACTCACACTTTTAAGTTCAGGATCTAAAACTCGCAAGATTTATGTGACTCAGAGAGGTGAGTCAGAAGCCATGACTTCATGCGACTCAAATGTTTTGTATTGCAAAGGTGCCTCAGGGAATCTTGTCAGAATGCATCATTAAGTCCCTGCAACACCAAGAATGCAAGTCTCCACAGCAACGAATTATTTTTACGGTTCTCACACGTCTTTGCTAACATTGATGCAGGAGGGTGAGTGTTCCTGCTGCTGTTGTTTAGAGCAAATCAGAGTGGGACAGGCTTTTACTCGTCTTCTGTGAGGTGTAGTTAGTCTTTTTGGCCAGAAGGTGTCACTGTGTTGTAATGTGATAAGCATCAAGTTTTTATAAAGCTTCATAATTTGCTTCTTTTCACTTGCAGAAAACCAAGCGAGATGTGAATAACTTCGACCAGGACTTCACCAAGGAGGACCCGGTTCTGACGCCGACCAACGAGGCCATCATCCAACAGATCAACCAGGACGAGTTCAAGAACTTCTCCTACTGCGCCCCCGACCTAACACAGAATCAGACCTAACACACACACACACACACACATACCGGTCAGACAACAGTAACGCCTGGCGTGCTCACACTCAGCAGAACCAGAATACGCACTCTCTCACTCATTCGCACGGTCAATCTTTTCCTTTTAAAGCTCTTGGTTGTTGTTACTTTTCTGAAGCATTATTTACTTGCATTGTGTCGTTCTTGTTGCCTGAACGTTTTATGATGAATATGACTATGACAATAAATATGAACACGCACACCGCTCTCACACAAATGTACTCTGTTTAGACACACTCACACTGCTTCTCTCACCAGCACCAGCTCTCTCTGTCTCTCACATACTTACACACACACACACACACACACGGAGCGGCGGTGCGAAGGCTTGTACATAGCCTGTGTCGAGTGGCTGTATCGTGTCTGTATCGTCTGCTATTAAAGGGGGCGTCGTTGCGCATGGACAAGCACCCTTCCTGTGTTATTACTGTCCTTATCGTGGACCAGTTAGGGCCAAACACCCTTTTGTGCAATACCATAACTATCTATATATTTTATTGTTTGTTTTTTTTTTCTTTAAAAATGTTTTGTTCTGTTGGATTTTGGGTGAAATTGCTTTGACTATCACACTCTCTGTCCTCCTGTCCTACGTACGGCGCCTTGCAGAATCATTCGTACCCTTTTTTTTTCCTAACTTATTCACATTAATTTTCAGGTGACAACCATAAATATTGTAAATCAATGTAAATTGGAAGGAGAATGACAAATAGCACATTTGCACATTTAGAGGCTGACAATTTCCCTCGTTTTTCTTCGCAGAATTGCTCAAGCTAATTCCTTCAAGTCTTGCTTTAGTTTGTCATTTAATTTCACATCTAGACTTCAACTAGGCCGTTCCAAGACATGAATAGGCTTCAGTCTAAACCAGTGCCGCTTTGACTGTATCTTTAGAGTCGTCTTGCTGCTAGAATATAAAGTATTGTAGAGCCTTAAACTGGTTTTCATCAAGTATTTTTATCTCCATCCAGTGCAGTGCCACAGCATTATGCTGTCATCACTGTGTTTCATGATGGAGATGTTGTTTTCAGGATGATGTGCAGGAGAAAAATATCAGATAATGAACATTTTGGGCACAGAGATTGCTGTCTACGTGGTTTGTAGTGATAGTAAAAACTGCAAACAATAGCTTCCTTCTTGCTGAAATGTGGTTTCTACTTTTTGGAAACTTCTTGGAATACTCTACTTTGTTTAGACGTATTACAGGAAAGGGGGATGACTTTTCTGTTTTTTATCTGTCAAATATTGTGAAAGTGATTCATAATTTGCTTCTACTTTGCGGTGATGCAGCTTTTTGCTGTCGCATTAAATCCCATTGAAATACGTTTAAAATTGTTGTGAAATGACAAAAAAGTATGGAAACCTAACAGGGGCATGGATGCTTTTTACAAGGCGCTGTATGTACAGTGAATGTTACAGGCTATTGAACTAATTATGTGGAGCAGAGTGTTACAGGCGGCCTGTGTAGCAGTAAAAAACTCCGGTGTCCAACTGTTTCATCCGTCTGTTAAGTTTCAGAGACCTGCCGGCCGGTGTGAATGTGTTGCCTTCTTTCTTTGTCTCTTCCATTCTTTCTTTCGCTCTTTCTTCCTTTCTGTCTTCCATTCTTCCTTTCTGTCTTCCATTCTTTCATTCCTTCTTTCTTTCTTTCTTTCTCTCTTTCTTTCGTTCTTTCTTCCTCGTTTTCTCCAAGTATTGTGAATGTACATTTTTGTGCGCATGAATGTGTGAACTTTAATCTCCTTCACGTCGTGCGTGACTTTTTGTTTTCTGCATTTCTGTATCTATGGCTACCACCGATGTTTCGCCCATCTTCCCTTTCAGCAATTCCTCTTTTCCCTGCTTCTCTTTGTCCCAAAGCCAAAAACTGCTCTCACTTTTGCTTTATTATTATTATTAGTTTTGTTTTTCAAAATGGCTTTTCTTTCTTATTGCTGTCTTTTTTAATTATTATATTAATTATTATTATTGTAAAGTGTATCTGGGGGATTAAAAACCTTTATGTGTAAAACTATAACTATACCATTATAGGTCTGTTACAGCCGGTTGTTAGGAAACTTGGTGAACCAGCAGCTGAATTACCTCTCACTTCAAACACGCAGCACTCACTGACTCTCCCCTTTGCTCGCTCCTCTCCTCCTCCTCCCTCTCTGTCTCTTTCTCTGAACCACACATGCACACACAAAGAGGGACGGTTTGTCGCCTTTCTTGTACAGCGATCTGAAGACGGGCCGGTTTGCTTGTCTGTGCAGTAGAGTCGGTGTGTAGTGACGCTTTGTGCACCCAGGGGTACGGCTGTTCCTGGTCACTCTTATCTTTTACTCTGTGCCAAAAATGTAGTGCAACAGCCGGGCTAGTCCCCCGTCTGGTCTGATTCCAATAAAACACTGAGCTGTCGACATCCATTCCAGACGACTCTGTCTGCTTTTTTCCCCCGCTTTCTCTCCTTTTTTATTACTGTTATTTCATGCTGTTGAGCTTTGGAGTCAAATCTGAGGGATGCTGAGAAAGTTTGCTGCCTGAAAAGGGAGGAGTGCGAGGAGGGGATCAGGTGATGCTTTTCCTGGCCAGCTGACCAATCACAGCTCTTGGTCTTTGGAGACCTGCTTGACTATTTGCATGCAGGAGGGAAGAGATGACACTCACTGGAGCCAGGCCAACTCATCTGTGCTGCAGGGAAACCTCTGTTAGCATTATGGCCATGCCGCCAGTCGGGGAACTCCACAGGACGCAATGACGGCCGACAAGGAGAAGAGACGGTAACCCTTTCGTTTTCTGATTGCTTTTTAAAAATCTGGAGGATATTAGAACAAGAATAAGTTGGCAAAGATCCGAACCCAGCCTGAAATTGGATAAAAGAGAAGTCTCATTCGCTTCCTCACTTGTTGAGAAATTTGCTGCAGTTGTTTTATAGTCGAGGTCACAAAGTCACAAAGTGAGCATTTTTAATCAGGCTGTCAGTATTTTAGCATGTTTAGTTATTTAACTTGCATAATGAGGCAAATTCGACTAGTTAAAAATATTCACTATGACATGACTTTAACTTGGTAAATTCTGAGATTTCGATTTGAATATGTTTTGCTTATTTTTTTTTTATTTCATTTACTTCATAGATGTATTTATTATTTCCATGATTTTTATTCCCTTTGTTATTTTTGTTTATATTTCTGTAATCAGGCATTGTTTTTATTATTATTTTTTCTATTTATTTACCTGCACCAGTAGGTATATCTGTGCATGTATGTGTGTTTGTACATATATACACAGACTTATGATTTTTCTGTATTTTTTCTTCATACTCTGCTAACCAAGCAACAATATTTTGTTGCCGAATTCACTGTCTTTTATCCAATGACAATAATTGTTAGGTTTTTTTGGCAACTAAATTACCTGATCGCCCCTACTATTGTTATTACTAATATTATTTCTTGTTGATGGTATGAAATGTGATTTCTTTTTGATGTAAGTACTTAGATTCAGTTTTTCCCCTGGTCTCTGCCACATGCAGAGCGATCAGCCGTGAGGCGGCCCGGCGGCGGCGGCGCGTGGAGTCGGACGTGTTTGGTGATCTGTCCCGCCTCTTGCCGCTCCAGCCCTCCGTCAGAGCTCATCTGGACAAACCCTCCGTCATCCGCCTCACCCTCAGCTACATACGCATGCAGGCGCTGCTCAAAGGTGAAAACACCTCGAAAACAAATCGGCCATTTATTGTGCTCAAATAGTCAAACTGTGCGAAAATAAAGATGAATTTTAAGAAATATTTATTGACTTATGAGTTCATGAAAAGAAAATGTGACTAAATTCCCTTCCAGTTCAAGTGAACAAAGGCAAATGAAAAATACATGATTCATCATTTGTTATTGCCTGTAATCTTTGCTAGAAGAATAAAAACTGGCAAAGGAAATGCGTTAGGTGTCAGACGGAGGAAGTATTACTTCACACCTGGAACAGACTCACATACATGTCAAATTTACAAAAATACACCACATCCTTTCCTCTGCCGTTTGCATCATTCACAGCAGCACAACTTTCTAAAAACTCATCTCTGTTCCTGGGTTCAAAACAGAAACTGCCGGGTCGGGCGCGGAGCTCGGACACGCCGTGAGATACCGCCACGGAGGAGAGGCGCTGGGCGGCTGTCGGTTTGAGTTGGGTAAAGAGACGGAGGGATTGAACCCGTTGGATGAAACCAGCATGTACCTGAAGATCCTGGAGGGATTTCTCATGGTGCTGTCCACCGTGGGAGACATGATCTTCTTATCGGACAACGTCAGCAAGTACATGGGCCTGAGCCAGGTGAGTCTGCAGGTGAGAGGTTTTACTGGTACTTTCTGCTTTTTTTTTAACTCTTTGTTTCCTGGCAGACTGAGCTGATGGGGCACAACATCTTTGAGTATACTCACCCGTGTGACCACGAGGAAATCAGACATAACCTGCGTCTGACTGCAGGTCGGTGTGTTTCAAAGCATAGCAATGAAAATACAATTTCTTTCCACTGCAGTTTTTCCTTACACTCAACTTTCCATCAGCATGCTTGGACATTGCTCTCTGTGAACAGCCACAGGTCCCACTTGTAGAGTCTGATCTTATGCAGAGCAACTGTTCGATAGTCTTCCAATGATTGTTTTGGCCATAATGCATTTTTTATTTCATATTCTAGCTTTTTCAAGATGTTAAATTCTGGATTTTCATTATCTGTAAGCTATGTTAATTAAAATGACCAGAAATAAATGCCCGAAATACATCCCTTTGTGTGTGACGATGCTACCTGATTTTCACTTTTTAAATTGAGCCCTACCTTCAAATACACATTCAATAAACTAGAATATTATTGAGAAGTCAGTTTATTTCAGGAACTTTATCACCTAGTAACCCGCATCACACTCCGCAAAAGCTCTAAATCTTACCAAGTATTGTTGGTCTAGTTTCAAGTCATAATATCTTACGACAAAACTAACTTATAGGTAACTTTTCAGCAAGATATAGGAGCTTGTTTTGAGAAAATAATTCCTAAATATCAATTAAAACAAGATATTTTCCCATGTTGTAGGTGAAATAATCTGCCAGTTGAACTCGTACTTTTTATCAATATTATGAAATTATTGACCTAAAACAAGCTTCTATGTTTTGCTGAAAAGTTACTTGTAAGTTAAAATATTGGCTTTTGAAACAAGACAAAAAAATATATATTTGGTAGGATTTTGTGTTTTTTCAATGTATAAATTAATTTTACACAGATGGTTGTTTGAAAGTCTTTATCAATGAGGATTTTCCACTTACTGTTAATGAAAACAAACAGAATATTACATCAGACGAATAAAATAAACCATTTTTAACGCAGAAATGTAGCCTTAATGAAAAGTAAGGCTAAAGTCACAAAGTAATGCTCTAATGTTCCTGTTTCTTGGAGAACTTGGGTGCAGCCAGAAGAGGGATTTCGTCATGAGGATAAAAAGCGCTCTGACACACCGAGGAAGAGTCGGGAACCTCAAGTCGACCACCTGGAAGGTCGGTGGTGCAGGTTAAGACTTCAGACCCGGGAGGTCGGGTTCTGGCGCTGCTGTTAACTCTGCTCTCCGTGACTCCAGGTGCTGCACTGCCAGGGCAGAGTGAAGCTGTGCTCGGCCTCGTCTTCGGTGTCCTGCCTGCTGCTGACCTGCCGACCTCTGCCGCTCTCACACACGCTCCTCAGCACACACACCTTCACCAGCCAGCACAGCATGGACATGAGGTTCACATACTGCGACCAGAGGTGCATAAACTCACCGCCATTAGCCACAGTTTGTAGATTCTCCGTTTTCAACAAGCCTCTTGCAGGTTTGAGTAACTTTAAAGAACATTACTACTAAAATGTAGGACTTAAATGAAAAAAGTAACATTAAATGTAGCTTTTTTTTACTAATGTATGTATGAGTGCCTTTTAGTGTGCTTTGCATACTATAAAAAGTGTCATTATTTTTACATTATTCAAATCACTTTACGCTGATTATTAAATAAAAAGAGATGCACATATATGAAGAGTAAGTTTTAGTTTTCACAAAAACATGACTAATTTTATAAGACAAGTTATGGCACAAGTCTTAGATTCTCCCAAATATTGAATTATTTTGTATTTGTGACATTCAGATTAAAATAAATCAGATATACGAGGATTAGGCCTGTCACAATGATCAATAAATGAATTAATCACATGATAAATTAAAGTAAACTCAATCATTTTCGCTTGCATAATTTATCATTTTTCTATGATAAAATGATAAACGTCTTCAGTCTGGTGATTTGGTCTCAACCCGCCCTTATTTTGAAGGACAATTTTGTTTATAGAGACTCCATGATTCATTTTATTTGTTTCTGTTTTGTTTATTTATTTTGAAAATTGAAAATGTCTTCCAGTCCCAGTAGTAAATGTCCATCAGAATGTAAAGTTTATTGATCTTTCAGAATATGTTCTTGTATTATGATTACTTGAAAATGGTCTCAAAACAACAACATTGTCGTTTATGGCAGCAACTTCTGGGACAGTTTATCATCAAGCAGATCTTATTATCACAGGCCCAGCAAGGATTGGCTTTGATTGAGTTTGAAAGTGTATTTTGATTTTGCATTTTGTGGTTCTGAGTCTGACCCACCTCTCGCTGGCAACTTCCGTCTTCACAGTGGTTAAGATGGTAAATTACGGTGAATCTTAACAGGAAGAGGCCAAACTGCCTCGTGTGTCAAATTTTGGTGGTTAGTTTCACCTCTTGCATACTATCTCGCTCTATTTCTGTATTTCTACTTTTATTTGTCCAAATTTGTAAACGTAATTACTTCCACATTTACTCGTCCAGTTCCTTATTGCTATATTTTGTTATCTTTATTTTTCTGTGACTGTCTTTGAATAAGATAGGAGGCCTGAACCTCAGCAGAGCCTGTCAGACTGTGACCTGCTCTGAAAACAACTACTTTAAAGACTGTTTATGACCGTTTTATCACTTCCTTTTAACGAACCAAGACATCTTGTTATAATAGTCTGAATATTTATTTAAATAATTATTTCTTTCTCAGTCTGAAGCTTTTTTCCCATGGAGAAACATTGCAGTTTGTTAAAAATTAGCTGTTAATTTTGGATGTGGGTCCAACTAACCACCAATTATATGAGGTTTTGATTATAGGATAGCAAAAACATCATGGTTTATTTATATTAGTTAGACATTACTAATTACTTCCATTAAGACTCAATAAATACACAAAAGCATTTTTTTCTTTATTACTGCATCTATATTTCTGCAAATGAAGCTGAAAAGCCTAAAACAAGAAGACAAAATTTGACAATAATTTTAGTAAACAAATTCAAAAATACATGAAACAAAACAAAGTAAAGAAACAAGTGCAGAAGAATTAACTAACTAACAGGGAAACCCAGATAAGGTCAGAAAAAAAACACTTTACATTACATAAATCATTCCCATTAAATTTCTTTAACAGAATTTGTAAAATTCATTTTCTCACTCAAGTTAATTACCATTGCTGTGATCACCTGAAAATAACATCACTTAACCTCATGCTAAGCTATGCATATGTTCAGTCTGCACTGATGAACATCCTGGCTTCAGCTCCAGGGTGACGCCCTCCTGCTGAATTATTCTCTAATTCAGCAAATAATTATTGCCTCATTTTGTCATTAATTCAGTTCAAAAAAGTGAAAATGACACAGAATGTAGCTTCTCCACAAAGACTTGTATAAAGTTTTCATTTATGTTCATTTGTATGATTATGCCTAGTCCAATTACCAAATCAATCGCTGCATCAGGGCAGCATCTGATGGAGGTGATCAACCACAGTTGAGTTTTTCCTTCCGCTCAACTTCCCATTAGCACTCAATGGCTTATGCAAGTTGCTCTTTTGTCTTCAACAATGGTTCTTTGATTGAACGTATATATTTAATTGAAAATAACAGTAATTAATATTTTTAAATGTAAAAACAAATGCTGATTTAAGCAGTTTTTCCCCATTTTTCATGGAATAAATGCAATGAAAGCGAAAAGTACAAATATTATTTATTGAAATTAATTTTTGTCTATCATTTTTGTTTTCTTACATTTTTTCCCCATCTCATTGGAAAAATATCTGTCCGCTTTGTAAGTTTTTTAGCTTATGGTAAATCTTAAACATTACATGTTTTTTTCCTAAATTTGTTTTATTTTGCTACACTGAGGAAAAAAATTTAAACAATTTGGATTGTAACAGTTGCTATCCATTTTTTAGGTTACCAAATGTTTGGTTTTCATTTGAAATAATTTATCTCTGCGACAATACTACATCTAACACTGTCACTTTATTCTTCAACTCATGAAAATATGCAAAATAAAAATAGAGTCCAGATCAACAGATGTGTTGTCAAGAGAAATCTGCAATGGATCACCAAAATAGATGATTTTTGTTTTACAAACCTCCCAATTTTGTCCAAGAATTAAGAGGAATTTCCCTCCAGCGTGAAACAGCAGGTGGAAGAGGGAAGCGGTCCACAATGTGACACACGCTGGTCACGCTGCAACCGCACAGAAAACTCCAGTCACTCTCAGCTCAACTCAGTAGAATGTAGGAAACTTTTAATGTTCTCTAAATTAATTGTTTCTTTCTTGAAACCACAACCCAGTCTTTGTTTCACATGATAAAAGTTTTCTAGCAACAAGCAGAAAACGAGACAATGAGGAGAAAAGTGATAAAAATACGACAGCTGCAAAGTGAGCATGTGCAAAACGTAGTAACAGTATAAACAAGCAACATGTTTCGATGAGTAGTTCTCTGCAAAATGTTCTTTAATATTTTATTTATTTATTTACAAAAGTAGGGGTTCATTGTAAAATAGAAGGAAAATAGTTCAATTTTTTAACAGGTTGTGCTGTGCATTTATAGTAAGACATTTAATTTTATAAACCTGAATAAAATCCAGTCCAACCAGTAGCTATCAGACATCATTTAGTTGGTAAATAAAGTAAATATAATGTGGATTTTAGTCCTCATCTGGTCTGTGAAGGTGTCATATGCACTCAAAAACATAACAAATTGGTCAAATTAGAAGTTTTAAAGCAGAGTTACTCTAAAATAAATAATACCACAACTCCAAACCTACCAAAAAATGTCTGTCCACCAGCTGTCAGGTCTCTAGTGGCTCTGAGGGAGCTGCAGAGAGCTACAGCTCATGTGGGAGAAAGAAATCCACATCTTATATATAATAATATAAATTTAGAAAATCATGTTTTTCTTTCTGATGCATTTTTCATCATACAAAATCCTCTTATAATAAAGCAAAGTTTGAGTTTTAATATGTGAATCTGTGAAATTCTTAAATATGAAAACTGATTATTGATAAATGCAAATAAATCAATAAATACACAAAACAGCTAAAGAAAGTGTAGCAGCTTGGAAGTAGTCAGAAGAAATATTTCCTTCTGTTTTTGATAAAAATCTGTTATAATCTTTCCAAACTAAAACCTCTCAGTTGTCTTATGTTAGATTTGCGCGTCATTATGCTTGTGCAATTAGGCAGAACTAATATTTCCTTCGTCAGTTCTGGATGTGATGAAATTGTTTAAACAGGAAGTAAAATTGTTACATGTAACACACGTCTGTCAATTTGTCAGGGTTTTTCTGGATAAAATGAATGAAGCTGCTGAAGGTGTTTAAGGTTAAATTGGCAAACTTTTAAAAAGCCTTTAAAAGTTCAATGTGTTCAAACAAAAATACGACAAAAATAATTTATTTAGTTAGAAAAACTGTTTTTTCTAAACTTTCTCAAGTTTATTAAATTAAATTAACTTAATCATTTCATTTAAATGATTATTCAACATTGAAGATTAATGTTGAACATTAATAAATATTATTTTTATATAAACAGTCTTATGTTATAGAAATAATCTGAGAGATTTTAAGAACATTTCACATTAATATGTCTAATCTGAACATAAAAATGTAGAAAAAGCAACTATGTTTCCTTTTATTGCTAATTTTGATGCCTTATTCTAAATCTTTCATTAAAAATGTTTAAAAAATGCAGCGTTCGTCTGAAAGTTTCTGTTTTGTTGAATAAATGAATCTTTTGTGTTCGTGCAGAGTGACGTCTCTTCTCGGCTACCGGCCGGAGGAACTGCTGGGCCGATCCATCTACGATGTCTGTCACACTCTGGACACAACCTGCCTGAACAAAAATCACCTGAACCGTAAGAACTGACACACACACACACACACACACACACACACACACACACACACACACACACTCAGAGCTACACCTGTGTGACGGTCTCACTTGATCCTTCAGTGTGTCTGAAGAATCAGTCGGTCAGCGGTCAGTACAGGATGCTAGTGAGGAGTGGAGGTTACGTCTGGGTGGAGAGTCACAGCGCCGTCATCCCAGGTGTCCAATCGTCCAGATCCAGACCCATCCCCAACCAGACGCTCTGCATCCTCAGTGTCACCTACATCCTCAGGTGTGTGTGTGTGAAACATAAAGCTGATAAAACTTGATAGTGTATTGATGAATTCTTCTTTTTCTGTTCATTTCTGTGGCTTACAGATGCTGACAACACTACTTTTAAATCTAAGAATTTCCAAGACTAATAAAAATGTTTTTTTCACTTTCAAATATTAAGAATGACACAACATTGTAGTGGAAAGTTGAGTGGAAGGAAAAGATGTGGTGGAAAAATATGTACAGGCAAAAGGGAAAGTTGTAAATTCACTCTGTATTTTCCATTTGCATGAAGTTGGTCACCTACATATTTCTAATTAACTGAAATTGTTATCAAATGTTTGTGCTACATTTGTGAAAAAAAAACATTTTTATATGTAAGAAATTAAATCTTTTCAGAGGTCGAGTGTATTTTGTCCTTCCACTCAACTTTCCATTTTCTTGTTTTTATAATCTGTAAGCATTCTGCTTCCACTTGATTTTGTGGATCAAAACATAACTTTTGATCCACAAAAGTTATGTTTTGTAGATATATAATATATTATATATATAATATATTTATATAAAGATATATTTTATAGTCTTTTTTGAGAAAACTAAAGTTTTATTTATCAACTAAATTAGCTTACAATGTTTTTTAATGAAATTGTAAAGGTGCTGAGAAGCATTTCTGTTGAATAGTGCCTTTAATGACATCTGCTCTGTGTCACAGCGGCGTGGAGGAGCCGTCTCTGCAGCTCTCTTTGGATCAAACTTTCCAAAGATACTTGAGATGAAATCAAAGTTGGAAGAAAAAAATCTGCTGCGACCAAAACTCTACTAGCTTTCTTTTTTTTAATGTATTATTTTCCCTAATTTTATGTTTAATAAATTTGAACTTTTATCTTTCCAAAACGACTTGTGCTTTGTTCTGCTTCTTACGATACTTTGATGCAAAGCTGGACGTGCCTCCAGAAATTTGCTGTAACGTTGAGTTCAGTGGCGGTTCAGGCAGATAACCCTCCAACTTCTCCGTTTGGTACCGTAGTTTCATAATCGCTGCTGCAGACTGTGGTTGACAGGCAGTTGACGGGGCGGAGTCACACGAAACGTGTTGACAAAAACAGCCTGTTTGACCTTTCCTTGACCTCCCTGGGTCTGACCGTGCTTCCTATGGGGTCGGCTGCTGGGCCACCTGACACGTGGGGTGCGTGCAGGACGCGCACACACAGATGCGCACTCTGCTGATGAGGAGATGTGAGTACATGCGAGTCGAAGCCGCAGCTTCCTGAATAGAGGCAGTCGACAGGAAAGTTCTCGTGGGAACTGTTTAAACTTTTTACCTCTCGACCTCTGAATGCACGCCGAGTTTCAGTATCACCGACTGCAGAGCGAAAAACGAGAGAGTAGAAAATAGCTTCAGAATGAAATGCATGAAGGTTGTCAGTAAAATAAAACTGTCATCTCAACTGATTTAAATTTGTTCATGTGACTTCATCACAAGCGCGTAGCAGCTCTTCGGTAAACAGACCTGCAGATGCAACAATATTTTAACGTAACCAAAACAAAAAAAAAAACAAATAAAGTCTTTTATGAATCTGAATACAGAGTTTGACTATGTTGAAAAGCAGGAATAAATGAGGAATCCTTAAAATTCCCAATTTATTTTGGTCTTAAAGGTTTAATTATTTATCATTTGGAATCTGAAGCTGTTCTTAGGGTTAAAGTTTCACCTTTTAGTGCAAACCATTCATCTCTGCAACCTTTGTAACGTAAAGAGCTGTTTTGCTCTCAGGCAGAACAGAAAAACTAAAATGTCACATGACTTTTTGAAGAAAAGACATCCAATAAAATTTCGAAAAAAATCGTGTTTAGACATTTTTTTGTAATTTGTAGTGAACCACCACTTTGTCTCTATTTTTAGGATTTAAAATAAACACTTTTAAAAGCCTTTAAAATAAATTATTGTTTTTTTTTTTTCTTGTACTGTGAATATTTTTGACTAAAAGAAAATAAAAAGCGCAGTTTCAATTACCACACAATTCATGTTCATGTTTTGTTTTTTTCTCCGTAATAATTATGGAGGTTAGAGATTCCCCTCTAGAGGGCGCCAGAGATCTCAATTTGAAGCCGGCTCAGGGAACAAAATAATAACGCATTAAATTAAATATCTTTGTGAATTCTCCGAGAGTGATCAACAAATTATAATGTGGAATTGCTATAGCTGATCAATTGTTCATAATATTTGTATTGAAACGCTGCTTTATACGTAGACTCAACCTGTATGTATGTTCTGGTTCAGTTTGGCAGCATCTGCACAGTTTACATCTCCAGATTGAGTCACGCTCCGTGAACTGCAATGTTCTAGCGCCACCTAGTGGTCAGGTGGAGTAACTGAAAGCTGCGTTTTTCAAGATTCACAAATTCAGAAAACCCGGATGCAGAATAAACAATGTGAGCTTCATCTGGCTCCTCTTGGACAGCAAAGGTATTATTTACATAAAGATTTTTCTGTGACTTTGCTGATTTGATTGGATTCTTTGTCATAAATCCATGTGAATTAAATTACTGGAGTCATAATTTATCTTTAAAAAAATCAGTCATTTCAGTGTTTTAATTATTTCCCTGTGTTTACTTTTTGACTAAATGATTTTGAGACTAACCGTTTGGACAAGCAAACTTCAGAGGCTTTGGACTCATTTACTTGGACTCAAGTATGACTTTTATTTTATTTTTTAGGAAAATCTTCTAGGACCTTAATCTGATCCAGATTTTATTGTTTAAATGATCTCAAAACTCTTGTTGGGTTTTCACTGAAATAACTAAAATTGGACTGATTCTTGCCGGTTTTGTGCATGAAAAGGCCTGGTGAGGACAAAGACGGGCTGCGCAACAGATGAGGAGGAAGCAGCGGTCACTCTGACAACTGAAAGAATAAAATGCCAACATGAGCTGAATGTGAGACAAAAACCATTATTAAGCAAGCAGCAAGACGCTTTCTGTTCCACTTTAAACATGCATATAATTCTGCTGAGCAGGCCTTTATTTTATCATTCACACAACCCATCACCTGTTTTTATGCTGACCCTCACCGTCACGCCCCTCCGGCTGGGAGGGAGTTGTCCGGCTGTGGGCCAATCAGAGGACGGTGCTCAGCCTTTAACGTGAACCCTGATAAATCAAAGTGAGTCACTGAGAGAAAAACAGAGAGAAGAAACGAGCGATAAGATTAAAACCAGAGCACACAAGGAGGAGGCTCTCGTTCTGACTGATTTTTCTAGGAGTTTGTTTTTGTTTGCTTTACATTTCAGAAGCAGCTTTTTAAATATGGTTGCATATTTGCAGAAATCCTTTAACCACTTTAATTTATTATCAGCATTCAGAGTCTTTATCAGTTCAAACTTTCTGCTAGTTAAGTTGAGTTTTGATTAACATAAATAATTTTAGCTTGTCTGTCACTTCTGTCACTCTGCCTCAGGGCAGCTGTGGCTACAATGTAGCTAACAATCATGACTGTGTGAAGGTCGTGTAAGTTGCTTTGGAGTTCTCTGACTTGATAAATCACTATATAAATGCAGACTATTTAGATAGAGCCAGTAGACAAACACATGTCATCTCACTTAGCAAAGGAAAGTCATTCTAATCTCTGGGTGGGCAATATGGACTTAATAATTTTATCACTATATTTTGTGAGACTATTGTGATATCAATAAAACTGGTTATATCAACTACATATCAATCATTGTTTAGGTGAATAACCACAAACACAAATATTGCTCTTGAGAAACATTCCCATTTGTAAAATGCTGCATAAAAAATATGATTTGTATCACTAAGCTGCATGCAGTAGCAGCATTTGATCCTATTTATTAATTTATTAATATTTATTGATATTCTTATTGAACAAATAGTGGAGAAAACAGTAAATATTTATTCAGATTTGGGGTTAAAGACTTTTTAAGGCTGTACGGTCCTCCTGATGTCACAGCTAAACAGAACCTCTAACCAGATGTAGCTTCTGCAAAGCTTAAGGATTTAAAAACTGTACACTTCTGAGAGTCAGTGTATGCATATATATGAAGCTGCATGAATAAGCCTTTACTTTGTGAAAGTTTGTAAATTCAAACTTGAATAAAATCATACAGGTTGTTATAAATTCCAGATCTTGTTGCGTTCATTTAAACGAGACACGTTTTTCTACATCGTTTGCATCTTTTTGCGTCTCTGCAGGATGCGCTCACCCCTCATTCCCTTTACATGCTGTTTGTCTTGCCTCACCTTATCTTTACTGCTGTTTAGTTATCTGCTTGAGAGAACAGAGAGAACAAACACATGAATGTCTGAAATCTGTGTACTTTCTCTCTTGGTTTTCATAAGAAAGGTAAATTGTGTGGTTGTTTCATCTCCGTCTAAAGTCAGGATATCAGCTTTTGGAGCCGATAACGTTTATGATCCCTTGGACAGGAGATAAGCTCCAGCATTATTGCATTAATTTAATGAAAGACTCATTTGTACATGAATGGCTGGACATGAAATATGAACTTCAAACGGATCTGAAGTCTGCATGTAAAAGTCCCAGCTGAGCCGTGAAGCCTCTTGCGTTTCATACAGTGTTGTGTAATTGTGCACTTGTTCTGCTGTTCAGCCACATGGGCTGATATTTGCTCTTGCATCCCAGGAAATGAATCTAATCTTATCGCGTGGGCAGAGTCCACAGATGCAGGTCTGGGGTCAGGGCCTCATGCAGACGGGCTCAGCACTCAGCACCATGTTGGCCAGTTGACGACTTATCCACGGGGGTTGTGCTTCAGTCTGAATTAATAACCCCGTGTTCAGCAGCATGCATGGACTGTTACACTGCTGCTCCGTCGGTGCCTTTGTGAAGCCTGATTACAGGCAGGCCGAAACAGATAACACTGACCTAGCAGCATCTCCAATCATATCTCCAGAGTCAATTAAAAAACTTACTGACTGATCTACTTAACTACTGGAAAGATCAACTTTGCTTTAACCTGGTAAAAATGGCATCATCAATCGCTTCTCTTTTATTCATACAATTTATTGCTTTTGTTGCTGCAAGTAAACCCAGTTTCTTGTGTGAGAAATGTATAAATTATTTAACATAAAAACAAACCACCAGAGACTCAGATAATCACCAGATTGTCTTTAGTCAGAGGCTTCTTCATGTATGCTGTAATGCAGACTGCTGCAGGAAAACTTTTCTGCCCAGATCCATCTCCATCAGCTCATGGACTAGTTGTCCCTCAAGCAGGTTTTGGACAGAAATCAACACTAATGCGTGTTAGGAAAAATGCCTATATGCCAGTGACCTTTTCCAATGAACATTTATGGTTTCAAGTTCAACATTTCATGAACTTTAGGACTGCCACGGTTATTATAATTGAAGTGTGTCCTCCGTGTAGTCAGAAAGGACAAAAGGTCTCTTGCCACGACAACAATCAGACATCAGTTTCGCTCCTTCAATAATCGTTTGTGCTAAGGAGAAAGTTAATGACTGATGAGTGAGATCTGGACCTCCGCAGATCCCATCTAGCTGTGTCACACACCCAACAGATCAGGGAAGTGCTGATGACAGCAGGCCTCACAGAGACCCTTTGATCAAACCACAAAGTACAAAACTGTTACCCTGTTGTTGCTCTAAGTAAGCTAATGAATGACTAGGCCATTTAATGGTAAGCTAATGACTGAGGGCAAAAGCTTTCTGCTTTCATCCAAATCCACATATTCATCATTCATTGAAACATGAGTAATACTCAATAATATAAAATATGATTATTATTAAATACTCAATAACATAAAATGTGATTTATGAGTGCTAGAAATCTAAGACTTTATGTCTCCTAAGAGAGTCTTATTCCAACTATTGATGTCCCTCTAATCAACAATCATGTAATATGGAGGCCATTTCAATATGGAGTCCCTTTTGTAAAGTTACAGACAAAAAGCAGTAATTTTGGTTATTTAGCCTATCATAAAAGCAAAAATTGAGGTGTATTTTTAAAGTCTTGTTATTTATTAATTTATGGATATCAACATTTCAAACTAAGTATCCATTAGCAATTATATTTCATTTATCTCGCTAACTATGTTTAGTTATCAAGATATTAAAATTTTAGATAAATATTTAGTTGGCAGCTGCACTGTAGTGCAGTTGGTAGCAATGTTGCCTTGCAGCAAGAAGGTCCTGGGTTCAATTCCAGGCCCCAGGCTCTTTCTGCATGGAGTTTGCATGTTCCTTCTTTCTGCATGGAGTTTGCATGTTCTCCCTGTCCATACGTGGGTTCTCTCCAGGTACTCAGGCTTCCTTCCAAAGTCCAAAAACATCACTGTTAGGTTAATTGGTCTGGGTGTGTGTGTGAGTGTGTGCATGGTTGTTTGTCTTGTCTGTCTCTGTGTTGACCTGCAACAGACTGGCGACCTGTCCAGGGTGACCCTGCCTCTCGCTCGGAACATCAGCTGGAGATAGGCACCAGCAACTCCCGACCTCACTGTGGACAAGGGTGTAAGAAAATGGATGGATGGATTTAGTTGGCAAGCTAAATATTACATTTAAAAGAAAATATTTTGTTAATAAGCTAAATATTTAACTTCAAATTAAAAATGTAGTTGATTTATTATTAATAATTATGTCCCTGGTAAAAGGATTTTGAGAGTGTCTTAGAAAAATATTTTGTTTTGGAAAATGTCCATCATGAATGCTTCATTGTCATTGGTCCAAATATGACGCATCTTACGCATGGGGCGTGGCTTCAGCCAATATTTCCACATTATGGCGACAACAGAACTATGACAGTGGAGTTGGTGACGGTAATTCTCACCTAACGTTTCTTGCCAACCGCCAATAATATTCAAGAAGAAGAAGTGTGACAGAGGAGTGCAGAAAAAAAAGGAAAGGAAAGGAAAGGAAAGGAAAAGACGACCACGGCAAAGATGGTGATGAAGAAAATGCCCGAACTTCCGGGCCTTTTAAGGAGACGAAAAAGAACCATCGTCCTCAAAACGTTAGCATTGCTAACAGCGACGCGTCGATCCCGCCTGATCCAGGAACTGTGGCTAATCTGGCCGTGTAAGCGCGACCTTCTTCGGCGGCTGCGGGCCCTTTGGGCGCAGCGAGGACCGGAGATGTTAACTTTCAAGCATCGGAGCGGGTGTGAAACTCTTCTCCACCTTCCACTTCAAACGTGAGTACATTCAAAGTCAGTGGCTGCGAGTCATCGGTCATGATTTCAAACGGGCATCAGTGACCGGAAGTAACATCTTTGTAACTTTATTGATTACAAAATATCAACAGGCTTTCAGTTATATTGGGAAAACGTCTTATTTGGACTTCAACAAAATGGAGGAATGAATGTGAAAAGTTTCCTTATCAATTTAATAATTATTAAGGCTAAATTTCATCTACATAAATGCAAATTTTTGAAGAAAAAACCAAACTTTTCTGTTTTTTTAATTGAACTTAAACGTTATTTATTAACAATTCAATCCTCAACCAACCAAAGAGCGGAGTCAACAATATGGGCTTGCAATCAACTTGGACTTTTGGATTACCTCTTATGTTAATATTCTGTAATGTCATTCTTGTTGTAAAATTTTCATCTGATGCTCCCCCTGGTTAAGTATTATTATTGTCTGACTGTGTTATGTTCACAATACATTTGTATTGTTGTTTTTTGGAATAAATAAAGTTAAAAAAAAAAAAAAAAAAAATCAGTGACCGGAAGTGCGCATAAAAACAGCGAGCACCACGGAAAGCGATGCAGTTTATTGAACACATTACAATGTAAATCGCGATAGACACGTGATAATTATCAATAGAAAGTAGGAATGTTCTGCAATTTCAGTGGACGCCGATCCGGAGCTGCACAGAATTAGGCAGAGGAAACTGCCATATTGTTAATTACCAAGCAACAACCAGTGGAGTTACTCGACAGATTAACTGCTGCTGCGTAACGGTTAGCCTGTTGAGCAGGGATGTCAAACTCATTTGCACAAGGGGCCAAAATTCAAAACACACTTAAGGTCATGGGCCAACCAGGATAAACATTTATTGAACACACTTAAACTTAATGTTTTTGGGACATAAATATGAATAAAAACAGACAGGAATATTAAATTTAAACCTTAAATCTCTTATACAGTATTTATTATTTTGCTCTAAATAAAAAATATCTTGTTAAATTATACAACTTAGAACTTAACGTAAACAACTTAACATTAAAATAACATTCAAACATGCATTGTGGGATGTGTCGTTCTGTGCAGTATTGTGTTATTAGCGCGGCGAAAAAGGTTGTTGTTCATATCGACGGGCCATTAATAACAATAATGTGAAATGGTCTTCCGGGCCGGATATGATTACACGGCGGGCCGGATGTGGCCCCCGGGCCGTGAGTTTGACACATGTGCTGTTGAGTAACGGTGAACGTTAGTGAGGGCTAACCGTTAGCCGAGGCTTCATAGCTGCTTAAAAATAACAAACAACCGTGTGGAGTGAAAACTATGGATACAGTAGAAAAGGTCATATCACCAGTGAGGCAGTATTTTAGATATTTAAAACACTAGCATGACACCCTTACGGTTTTTCAGTCACATTGTCCAGACTTGGCTGACATTTTCTACACTTGCCCCTGTACCAAAGAGTTAGTACTAAATCAATTGATTATGGTGATATGCCCGGACACAAAAGTCATAACATTTGGGTGCCTTGCACAAATTTTGTTTCATACTTTCACAGTTTTACTTCAGCCATATTGAAACGGAATCCCAGTTTTCATCAGATATATCAAATGAAAACGGATATACCAACCTCTGTGGAGAGGTTGTTTAAAATATTAAACCAGGAGTGTTGAACTTAAAGAGCTGGTTGTGGCAGAATATATTAATAAAATTACCCATTAACAAACTGTTAAAAGGGCAGTATTTTGTATTGTTCCATTTTTATAGCACAATCTCTAACTTTTACCTTCAGCCGTTTATAAAAATGTGTATCAAATATGACTTGAAAGAAATTTTACTTTTTAATTTAACACCTAAATTGGGACTCTGTCTCTTTAAGAAACGCCTATGCATTCAGGAAGTGATCACAAAATCGGTCCTCTATTAACCTTTTTTAAAACAACATTTTACCAGAGTTTCAACAAGAAGTGGCTCAAATAATGAGCTCAGTAGATGCACAATTTCACCAGGTGTTTGCTAATTGCTGCTGGCTAGTCTGAAGGAGCTGCTCTGTGGGGTGGAAGCTCTGAGGAGGAGCTTCGTCCTAGAAAGTGGTGCTAGGTCCACCCAGGCTTTTTGCACAGCTGTATGGTTGTCCCAGGCGATTGAAGGATTTCTCCAACATGGATGAAACAATCAAAACAACACTCCAGGCGTGTTTTTGTGGAGGGAATAACAAACATCATAGCAGACTATTTCACACAATACAAATTTCTCTAACTTTGATTTGTACTTCTTAAAATTAAAGTCCTTTTCACATTGATTTATTTGATCTTATACAGAGTTGAAAGTAGCTCCAGGACGGCAACAACTACCTGGCAGTAGTTTGTCACCTACTACCGAGATCCACCCAAACTCTTCTGCGATCAACGTATTGAGCATCCCTGCTCTAGTATAACACAAACAGTTCAGAAACAATATAAAATGAGGGGAAAAAAGCTATTTATTAACTTAAACTGTGTTTGTTTAAGTGCTGGAACTGATTAGTTCCAGAAAAACTAATCAGTCACGGCTTAATAATGGGTGCACCCACTGATTGTTTTCACAGCAAACAGCTTCTCCCCTCTTTCGCAGGTATCCCGGCTAAATCTTACTTTCACCCCTGATCTTATATAAACTAAAACTACGTCACTGTCATCTTAAAGTTAATTATATGTGGCCGTCTAGAATAGAGTTACAGCAGGCAGGATTTGACCCACGGACCTTAAGTTTGACACCTGTGTAAAGAATGATGAAATGTTGTTCACTCTTTTAACAAAAGCTCCCCCCTGGTGACTTTGGTGTAGGTGATTGGGGCATTTATGACTCTTTTAAAGCGGGAGCGCGCGCTGTCAGTGGGCGCATGCGTGCGCTCCGCGTGCGCGCGCCTCGCTGTGCCCTCACCCCTGGCTCGCGCTGCCTTTTAAAGCAAACTCACAGCATGCTATTTCCCACTCGGCCAGACGACGGGACGCGGTGCGGAGCTCCTGTGTCTTTCATTCAACCCCTTCCTTCCTGCCGTCGCCCCCATCGTCCTCGTTGTTTACTTTAATTCTGTAGCAGTTTGTTTGCATAGTTAGCTTGTTCCAGTCATGTATCGCTATTTCGGAGAGCTGCTGAGCCGCTCTGCGGGAAGTGCCCTGGCCTCGGGATGCGTTGACTCCGCTCTCCCGGTGTCGTCCTCGCTGATGCGGGTCCGCCGTTATGCCGACGCGGCCGAGCAGCCCGACGACCCGAACTTCTTCAAGATGGTCGAAGGGTTCTTTGATCGCGGTGCCACTATCGTTGAGGACAAGTTGGTGGAGGACCTGAAGACCAGGGAGAGCTCCGAGCAGAAAAGACACCGTGTTCGCGGCATTCTGCGCATCATCAAGCCGTGCAATCACGTCCTGAGCGTGTCGTTTCCGATCAAGAGGGATAACGGAGAGTGGGAGGTCGTGGAGGGGTACCGCGCCCAGCACAGCCAGCACAGGACACCATGCAAAGGAGGTAAGAACCGAGTCAGAACCCGCTCCTCCTCTGGCGCTGTTGACGGCTAGCTATAGCAGGCTATGTAGCATTAGTTAGCAGTGACGTTAGCTTTTTCAACAAACTTTATCATAATGCAGCAGGTGTTCATAGTGCTTCACTATCTCAATAAATAAAATATTAGCAGTTTTTAGGAGAATTAGCAGTGTTTTCTCTCTAGGGTCATAGTTTACAGTGTCCTTTCTGTTTATATGTAGCTGCAACAAGCTGTGGATGAGTTTGAACTTTAACTCCTATTATAAACATGTTTGAATATCTATATAATAAGTTATCGGATCTGTTTTAAAGAGCATTAAACACATTTCAGATGATACCAAGATCATCTAAGTAAATTAAACACTGTTGCCACATTAATAAATTTGAGATTCTTGGGTAATTTATACTCTTCACTTTATATTAAAATTAAAAGCTGTATCCCACAATAGAATCACTAAAAATTAGGGTAATGTCTACATTTGTTTACATGTTGCCATGACAATTTGCAGTATTTCCACAGTAAATATTTGATCTGAACATCTTATTTAATTTATGAAAATTGTTATCAGACTAACAACAATATAAGATAATGTGCAACTTCTATCGTTTTGGAGATTAAAATAAAATAAAATAAAAAGTATTAAACAAATTGGATCATTACAAATTAAGAAATTCAGATAGAATACATTTTTTGCAACATGAAGCTTCAAACTTTATGTTTTAGAGCAGATTTCATACGGTCAGTTCAGAATCCATGACTTACAATAGATAAAATATATCTAGTTTTTCTAGTGACTATCTACAATTTACTATATATTCACTTGACCTTCAAAGGGCACAACCGGGTGAACAGAATGACAATGACATTAGAACAACCGTATTTATAAACATGGATAGTAAATCTCACTGCAAGATGTGTATCTGGTGGATATTTGACTAAAACAAGGAACTTTGTGTGGGTAGAGTATCCAGGAAGTGCACTCAGTTCAAGTCTTTCTTTGAAATAACATTACTTGGAGTTAAAAAAACGTATGGTCCTGTAAAATTACTTATGCAATAAATAGGAGTGGGTGGAATAAATATTAAGAATTAATAATGTTATTGATAATTATCTTTATTGAGCCAAAATGTTGACTTTGCTGCAATTGAACAGTGAGAATCTCAACTGTTGGCGTCAATACATTAAAAAATATTTTTTGGGGGTGGGGGATTAATTGTTGCTTTCATTTAGAGTTTTTCTCCATGTTTAGCATGTCAGAATCCAATTTTTCAGGTAGAAAAAGCATCTGCTCTCATG